GGCCAATACAGTGAAGGGACTACACTAGTTATTCTCCATTGTATGCACAGAATTCTCCATTGTATGTACAGAAATCTCCATTGAATGAACAGAAATCTCCATTGAATGAACAGAAATCTCCAATGAATGAATAGAAATCTCCATCGAATGAACAGAAATCTCAACTGAATGAAATAAGAGTTAATCTCCATTACACGAACAAGAGTCAATCCCCATTCCACGACGGATACTACTTCGACGACAGTCGAAGCAACATCCTAACGGCCGAGGCCATCGACATCGGTTCGTACTCGCTCGAACCACGACGGATACTACTTCGACGACAGTCGAAGCACCATCCTAATGGCCAAGGCCATCGACATCGGTTCGATCTCGCTCGAACCACGACGGATACTACTTCGACGACAGTTGAAGCAATATCCTAATGGCCAAGGCCATCGATATCGGTTCGACCTCGCTCGAACCACGACGGATACTACTTCGACGACAGTCGAAGCAACATCCTAATGGCCAAGGCCATCGACATCGGTTCGACCTCGCTCGAACCACGACGGATACTACTTCGACGACAGTCGAAGCAACATCCTAATGGCCAAGGCCATCGACATCGGTTCGACCTCGCTCGAACCACGACGGATACTACTTCGACGACAGTCGAAGCAACATCCTAATGGCCAAGGCCATCGACATCGGTTCGGCCTCGCTCGAACCACGACGGATACTACTTCGACGACAGTCGAAGCAACATCCTAATGGCCAAGGCCATCGACATCGGTTCGACCTCGCTCGAACCACGACGGATACTACTTCGACGACAGTCGAAGCAACATCCTAATGGCCAAGGCCATCGACATCGGTTCGACCTCGCTCAAACCACGGCACGACCCTTTGACGAACGATAAGAACAACCTCTACGGAGGCTAAGCATTACAAAAGAAAAACCAACAAAAGGAAGGCACCAAATGGACGAAGCAGAAAAAATAAAATTTATATTACAACAAAAATATATTAACATTCGCGCCCATGGGCGAGTTCCAACACACTATACAAGCCAAAAATATACATTGTACAAGTTTATAACTGCCCGACACCCCCTGGGAGGTAAACGTCATTGTACCAGGAGCTGGAGTCGAGCCGGTTGATGTCTTCAGAAGTAGGCCCCTCCCCATCAGGAGAGTCGGGGTAATAATCACAAGCCTCACAAGCAGCGTGAGCCTCGTCTCGCCGTGCTTGAACTTCCTCCTCCGTCTCCCGGCCTGCGGCATGAAGCTCTCTATACACGTCGAGCTTAGCCTCCGCAAAAACCCACATTTCATGCGCACTACGACGCATACTCCGACCAGGCGAGGGACGAGATGAGGAAGGCTGAGAAAGTCCATTATTCTCCGCCATCCTGGCGTCGAGCTCGGCGGTTAGATTCGCCACCCTCCGCTGTAGGTTGACGTTCTCCGCCGCCACCCACGGCTCAGCTCAAGCTCGTCATCTTTCATCCCGAGAAGCTCCTCCAACTCGCTGTTACGAGCCACGGCCTTCATCAGCTCATTATCCGCCTCCTCCAGCTCAGCTCCCCTGCGTTCCAACTGGGACTGCCCCCGTTCAACCACCGCTCGGTGCTTAGAGCGATACTTTCGATACTTTTTTAGCATATTTTTGTAGAGGGCCGTCCGTTTTTGCTCACGGCGTCCCCTCTCCACCTCCTAAACAAGGGTCTAAACAGAAAAGCAGAAATAAGCACGCCTCAAATCAGTCTTACAACACGCAGAAGGGAGAAAGGAAATAAGGATTACCTGCAAAGCCATGCCGGAAACCCTTCGTGATAGCTCCGCATCCTCCACAGTACTGAGCGTCTTGCTCTCGGAGACGGCACACAGCAGGGTAAGGGCCGAAGCAGCCTGTTCGCTGTTTAACAGCAAGTTGTAAGCCGCCAGAATTGTAATATGGCGGTCGGACCCACCCGTCGTCATCTCCACATGGGTAAGGCCATCCACAAACTCGTCAACATCCTCCTGAGCGATGTCGGAGTCCGATTTCTCCGTTTCCTCGCCATTTCCTTCGATGTTGGTCGACGACCCTCCCTCAACGGCACACGCGGAACTAGCACCGGAAGCGGCACTCCTCTGTTGAGCCGACCTCCCAAATAGAATGGAGTCGGCCATGAATGGTCTGCGCGTCGGCCGAGGCACCTCACTTCCTTCGGCTTCGGTGGCCACCCCTTTACCTTTCTTGAGCCTCCTCCGTTTTCTTTCTAACGATTCCTCGCCATCGGAGGGTCCATCCACGGGTTGCAGAGTCGGCACCAGCGATGCCAACTTCCACATAACCATGGTCGTAGATGTAGCCCCCTGTAAAGGAGCTGGAGGGAGATCCTCTCGGACAGACTCAATCAGTATATCATGAGCGACCGAGGCAACGTCAAATCGATTGGGAGCGGGGACTGGCACCTTCTTCCTAGAAGCGCCTCGACCTGTCGCCATAAAAATAAGTGAGCAGGGTTGCAGAATTTACAAAGCAAAAATCGAAAATCTACCTGAAGAGACTTTGGGGCCGTAACGCTGCATGAAGGCAGGCCAAGTGCGGGTCTCTTCCGCGTAGGGAAGCAAGCCAATAACCCATCTCCTAAGGTTGGCAACAGGCCGGGGCGGATGAGCCATAGCTGTAATACAAAGGTTAGAATTGCGACAATCACGGGTAACACGGAATTTGACAAATTGCAGACACTTACGTTTCGAGTTCCACCTCTCTGGGAATCCGGCAGGATTAGAGACCATGTGCTCGGTCCTAATGAAAAAATATTTGCGTCAGAACCCACGACTCGCTCGGTCGTCGGTTTTGACCACCAATCCTTTCGTACCACGGCCTCGCAAATGCACCATGGTCCCTCTTAGATAGCAGGCACTGAACAGTTGTAGGAGGTGATGGGCCGTGACTTCACATCCGGCCAAGTCCGCGTACTTGGTCAGCAGCCGAAGCACCTTCAGAGTATACGACGTAAGTTGAGCCGGACACACGTTATAGAACCGGCAGAACTCATCCGCCAAAGGGAAAAGAGGGAGGCTGTAACCAATCGAAAAGGGGTATTCGTAAAAGGTACAGTACCCTGGCCTATGAACATCCACGTGATCCCTCCCCGCCGGAACCATCTCTACGTGGGCAGATATGCCGTATTTCACGCGGAGGTCACCCAAGTGATTCTGCAACGACTCGGAAAACTCTGGAGCCGGAATGGGAGAGTCCTTACTGAAATCACTCCGAGATAAGATATGCTTTGGCAATAATGCTTCCATAGTAAGAGGACTGATGTCCTCTTCCTCCTCCACCGCTCCACCATCGGAAGGTGGCGGTAAGTTCAATGGGGCAGTCCCCGGGACCCTCTCGTCGCTTCGGCAAGGTTTAGGCATGATCACGGTGAAGAAAAAGTTGTGCACAACCCAACAAAGAAAAAGGAGATTTTCGATCGAAGGAAAACGCACCAGAATGTGAAAATATGCATTGAAGGGCTGGAATGCTCTTGCAAATGACCAAAGTTTGAATCAAGTTAAACCCTTCTCCTATTTATAGGGTTGGGTGGCTCCAGAATCGAAGAGGCAGACGTCGAATCGGCACGAGAAACCAGGCGCCAAAAGCTTCTAATTTCCCGCCTCGAGAATACGCGTAATGATGACGCATACGAACGCTGACGTCACACGGGGAAAGGCGTTTCGCTTCGACGCTCTAACAGTCATGATTATTGTCTCCTGCCTGTCACGTCACAAGTCATTGACAAAGTCAAACTCTCCCAGAACGGAGGTACCGATTCTGCCCATCGAGGACGCATTCGATGCGACCCCGACAAGCGGAGGGACTAACTGTATGGGGTCGAATTTGACCGACCACGTCCTTAAGCCAGCACGACCGACCGAATATACGGGAGTCCGGCTAGAAAGGCGACCTAGGAATAACAAGAGGGACGACTTCATGATCACGTCGGCCTCTCTATAGTATGTACTTTATTTTCTGTCTTTTAATATTCAAGTAAGGATCCTCTATTATATAAAGAGGGTTCAAGCCTTGTAAAAAGGGGATTCATTATCGAAACAGATTATCTCTCTCTCTTATCTCTCTAACATTATCTCTCTCTTATCTCTCGAAGATTATCGCCTCCTCTCTCTCTCTCTGATTTGTATTTTGGGCCCTCTGAATCAATTGTCAAGATCATCCTAGGATTTATTATCTTCGACTATGATTTACCCCTTCATCTATATTGATTGATTTGCTTAAAAAGTGTTAAACAACTTTTGAGTCAAACAAACTTCCCCTTTTTTTTAACAGAATCAATGAAAATGGTGATGAAATATGCATGCAGTAATCAGAAATGCAGAAAAAATTTCTTTTGCTTGATGCCTCTTTTTTGTCTCACAATTTTGTTGCCAGAATTGGACATTGAGAAAGGAAGGGAAAAATGAGTCGGTTGTCCACTTCTTGTTGATACAGACACTGACAGCAGGACGGCGGCGTTAATCAGTTTTTGTTCTCACACAAGTTAATGAGTTGGTCGTCGACGTGACCCATGTCCCCGTTTACTGCAATTGTTACTCTTTTTTTTTTACTTACTCCCGAGATAGTTAACATATGGCTTTCTCTAAAGCTGTCACTGTGTCAGTTTGGTCGAGTTTAATACTTCACCCTCGGCCCTTTTAGGGCAGGCTCAACCAATATCCATTGTATCTTTCTTGACTCAAAATTGGGTCGTGCTGTCCAAACACCATTTCAATAATCAATTTGGGTAAATGGGGGTGGTGGTGGTCACACTTTTTTTTTGTGAGCATCACGTGCGGTCATCATTCTTGCCTCTTCCTCGCTTGTTTAACCAAGGGGACACGAATGATTGTCTCATTGCCCTGTTTGCTTCCTCTGAATATAAAATTGCTAGGAAGTCAAAAGTGAACAAACGTGGTTGACATTGTGAAGATAGTGAAGTACTCAAACAAACGACTTTTTTCTAGTGCAATACTAGGTCAGTATTATATAAACACCAACAACCTCCAATCTAGAAATAAAATCACAACATAAGTTACATAGTTACAAAGTGAATAGCCTAATTGTATACATCAGACTAGCTAATTATGTAAAAGCTGTCAAGAACCCTAAAATTAAGTGACAGAGAAGCTAAGTATGATTGTATTTGCGCTAAAATACCAAACAAACCATTCTAGGCACCACAGGAAACGGTCAATCCTATTGACGGGTAACGGGGGCCATCGGCAAGGATGAAGACTGGCTATATAAACTACTATCAGTTGAATACCCTTGGTAAGCATTTGTTGTGGAAGATGTATAAGGAGAAACCCCATTGGCAGGAGGCACAACTTGGGGAAAACCAGGCAATGCTGAAGGTTGCTGGCTTGTCGCGAAAACAAATGCAGAATTAGGTATCTGCACACACGTCTGCATGCACTGAGGCACTGGATATGGCTGCATAGGAGGCAGGGGTGGCAATGGTGGAGGCGATGATGGTAGAGGAGGCGGTTCAATTGGAGCAGATTCCTGAGCTGTGCTCGGGAGATTATGTTGCATTGAGAAGGATTGAGAGAAAAATGAGAGGGGTTCTTGAGGGTTCTGTGAAGGGACATAAGCTGAGTGGTCATTTTCAAGCTTCACCCTTTTCTCCGATTGATTATCGTGGGAAGATTCTTTACTTGAGTTGCCTATGACACCCTCGGACGCCAAGGATGAGAGAACATAAGTCAGCATCTGGGCTGAAGATGTTGATGCAGTGAGCTTTGCTGCCACTGCAGCAGCTGCAGACTTCATATCTTCATCAAGGTTGCCAGATTTTTCATAAGATACCTGTCGAGTGTACATCACTGGAGCAGATTGCTCTCGATTTCCTGCTACATATGCCTGTGCAGCTTGGGAGGTGCTAGCTTCCTTTCGATTCTGCTCAGCCAAGATTTGCCCATTGGCATCACAATTCAGCAACTGTTTACAAATATTGCCTGCCTGATCTGCGTGGGACTGAGCAGCCTAAAAGCAAAGTGATGGAGCATCACAACACTGTTTAACTAGGCACAAATGTAGGCCAGAAAAGGTAGGAAGATAGCAGTATTAATACTTCATGTCAGTAGTATCACTTTACTGCAAAATAAAAGCACTTCTTTTCCTTCTATACATGTTTTACTTTTGAGGAACAGGATATGCTGGTACTTCCAATAAGCTTTTCCTTCTCTACATTTTTTTTCCTTTTCACAAAGAAAAACTTCTCCAAGCAAGCATGAGGTTTATCTCTTTCCTCGACAACTCAACTATATTCGACCCCCTCTTTGAAACCAGTATCATGTCATTATAACCAAGTATAATCAAGCATTTCTTTGTTTGAATGAGGCTACCTGATTTCATGATTCACCTAAAAGATCAATAACGCACTTAACGGAAATTAATAAGCATGTTACTTACCTGAAGTTGATTGCGGACTTGATCCAGCTTATATTCCTGAGGAGAAACCCGTGGCGCTACTCAATCAAGAGCGAAAGCACAAAAGCAAACAGGGGAAAGATGTTGAATTCACCAAAACTGGATGACTAACCTGCTCTTGGAGGACCTCTCTAAGATGAGAGATGAGGTTTGCCCTGGATGATTCAACAGTTGTTAGCTGCTCGATACAATCCTTCAATATAGTGTGTTGCCCCTTGAGCTCATCCGCTATACCAGATCCATTAAGATGGCCTAAAGAGCAAGGGAGGAGGTCGATAAGAACACAGCATGACATAGCAAGTATCAAAAGAAAAAATAAATAAAATACAAATCAAGAGAGGAAAATAAGGTATTAAACTATCAATTAGACGATGAACAGCTAAAGACCACAATACCCTACGGTTTAAAAGTGTTCCTTAAACCATGCTCATGAAAGCTGGCTTCTCTGACTAGAAAATTTCACTATACGTTCACCTAAGAAACATGACTTGATTAAAATATTTTGTAACTATTCCATTTTTCTCTTAAATAAGACTGGCACAATCATATGCTCCTCTATAATAATAAAACACATAAAATTTCCTTATTTCTCCAAAATTGAAGAGAAAGTGAACTGGTTAACATAACAGCAAAATGTAGGCAACACATTTTTAAAATCAACAAGATTATAGAGTATGACTCTAAGCAAGTGCTAAACAAACACCGCCCCATAAAGAATTACTTCAAAGATGATATAGATGTTTGTAACTTCAGCTAAAAGAAATTACTGACATTGGTGTGCGGGCCAACTTGCACCCACCTCGATAGTTCCATCTGTTACCTGCTACCTCCCACTAGCAAAGGTGCCGAGTAACTTTTAGCTAAAATGATAACTCATGTTTCTGTTTTGCTTGATATTTTATATAATGAGCAATACATATATGATATTAGTACATGCTGAACAATTCTGACATAAGAACCCAAAAGGGTGATTTCCGATACTTAGAGAGTCACGTTCTGACTCGACTTTGATCACATAGCGGGAAGCAAAAAGTTGACCCAATTCAACTTATGAGTTATAGTATTGCAACAAAAATCAAGAGAGAGTGAAAGACATTGAGTTTAGGAACACGAGAATATATGCTAAACAAAACTGGAATTACATTGCTAATTTGAAGCACTAAAACTTGGTCCCCCTTTATCTTTTAACACAACTAAAAGAAGCTAAACAGGAAGGTACAAATAGAAAAATAAAATGAAATAGAAAGGACGGTACAAGTTTAGCATGCAAAAATTGGGTGGAGGGAGCATTATCAACTAAGCAAGGACAATGGTCGATAAAATAACCAGCAGATTCCATGGTACCAAAAGTATTCAGATTAAAAAAACAATAGAACACCTATTTGTTTAGCAAGGAACAGTTTCACAGAAAAAAGAACCGGCAACATTTGAACTGATTCTAATATTGGGTTTGGAGTGGATATACCCGCAGTACGATCCTTTTTTATTCTACCACGATAAGTGTCCTCTTTCCGATGAGTTATTATACAGATCCTCATGTATATCTTGCCCTTAACCCAATAGATAAAATTGCTAAATTGTCAATTTTGAGCGATGCAAAATCGGTTCTTTTTGTTTCTATTTTATCATCAAAATCCATATTTTGTTATAGATTTCTGAAACAAAATAAATAGGAAATAATTAAACAATGAAAACAAAAAAAAATTGAACTGTATTCCTTAATTGTGTTCCTTTCATTCAAGCTTAAAAGAAACGCAGCAGTGAGGGACAACCCGGCACCCGCCCATACAACCAACCGGGAGGATGGCACTACTGGCAAAGACCATCTGGAGAAAATGCTCAAGCACGAAATGTGGTAAGCCTCATTTCAGCAGTCCACTCTACAACTTCTGGTCCGCCATAGTGCTCGAGTGTCAACCTTGTCTGTCAAATTAGATATTCAAGCACATTTTACCTTTTTTATTTATTTAAGTATATTTTACTTTTCTGATGAGAGATCCCTTTTTCGACAAGCTTTCTCCATGAGAAGACTTAGTCCTTATAAAGAAATTGAATAATTGCTTTGTCTACTCGTTCCTTTTCGGCCAAATACATAACCGGACCCTTAAACTTGGCCATTATTTTCATTTAGACACCTTATCTAAAGGAGTGACCTATTGAACACTTAATGTTGATTGAAAATGTGTCTATTAAACACTTAAATGGAAACTCCTCACAAAAAGGTAGTGCGTGAGTCTCAAACGCGGTAATGCTATAAAGAAGCCAATTATGAAATGACCTGTGGACAAAACTTTCCTGGCAACTCCTTCTCGTCTTCTTAATTTCACCATGCCCACCATTTTATTTCTCCATTTCCCCACATATCTAATTACACCTTAAAAATTATTATCAAATACACGGACGCTAATTAGTGATTGCCTAAAAGAAGTTGAAGTATGTCTATAATTATAAAAATCTAAAACTCCATAGAAACTCCTGCTTACCCTTTCTCTGAACAAAGGATGTACAAACCAACGCTAAAAGAGCTTTTTCTCCAGATGGGTGAAATTTGCAGAAAGAAATCCATAATTTGCTTCTTGTTTCGCCTTTTTGTTCTAGTTATCCAAAATAATATCTCCGGAAGTGGAGTGATGGAGTTGTTTGTATATGAGTGCTCTGAAGGTGGAGGGTGGTGGTTTTAGAGAGAAAGAGGGGACTGATTGGTGTTTCTTATGGTGGCCGAGTCTCAGCGTTGGTGGCTAGGATGGCGGTGACAAGAGAAAAGATGAGAGAGAAGAAGAAAAAAACAAAAAATAAAAACTTACTCCTACTATGTTTCTTCACGCTCTCACAAGGAGTGCAATATACGCACACTGCCATGTCAACAGTGTGTGTCTAATTGACACATTTTCAATCAAAATGAAGTGTTCAATAGGTCACTCTTTTAGATAAGGTGTCTAAATGGAAAAAATGGCCAAGTTTTAGGGGCCATCTATGTATTTGGCCGTTCCTTTTCTGATAGGTTATGTCAATGTTTTTATCTCTCCGGAGCTTTTTCATAAGCTTCACCATTAAACCAGATATAGAAGCAAAATGAATGAATTGGCTTTTCATTTAGTTTCAGTATTACACTAGATATGCAAACAAAACAATTGAATGGAGCTTTGTCTCCCTCTCTTCCTCTCTCCCTCACTCTCGCTCTCTCTACCTCTCTCTTTGAAGAAGGAAGCCCCTTCTTTCTACTTTGGTAAGTTAGGCAAAGGGAATTTCAGGCGAAGGATGCCAAAAGCAAAAGCCATCCAATTTGAAAATTTAAGCAGAAAACTGTCAGATATTTTTTTTAACTACAACGGAGGCTCTATTTATTTTTGCTGAATTAAAGAGAGGTCCAAGTAATTGCCCCAGAAAATTCACTATTCGTTAAACCAAACCAGAATTGTATTGTTCAGTTGGAATAAAATTGACTGGCAACTAGACAAACCCTGGTGAAAGGATTAAAAAGTTTCTTCTGGGCCATCATAACATGAAAGTGGACAAGCATTGTTAGGCACACATCACAAGTGGTAAAGAAAACGCACCTGGATTTAGATCACCCCCAATCTCCTTATCTAATTTATCAACAGAGCTAATGGCATTTTTACATCTGCTCAATATAGCGTCTTCATCAATTTGACCACCATACAGCATCTGATAACTTGAAACTATTTTGTCAAGGGCATCCCCAGTTGAGTTTCTCCGCAAAGAGTGTGATGAGAAAGTTCTATCCAGCTTCAAACATATATAAAAAAGAATAAACAACAAAAACAGGTTCAACAACAAAAGACCAGGATGAAAAGGGAGACTTACCACTTTGACTCCACTATGCTTTCCATTCCCAACATGCTTCCCAGCAAACTCTTCCTTCAGAAGCTGCCCTCGAGAACCAAATACTTTTCTCTCCTCCCAGATAGTGATCTAATGTTTCAGAATTAAATAGAGCATAAGATAGGCACCACGGCAGTTCCACAATGCAAGTCACATTGTAAAAAGATCTATAAACTCTACCCAGGATAAATGATATGATATTGTAAGCAATTTTTCATCCAATGTTCATCATACTATTCAGGTTAATATTCAAAGTGTGGCTAATCAAAGTTAAAATTCATGGCTACGTGAATTACGATCACTATAACCTTAGTTAAAGATTGCAATGCATATCTAAAATATAAGGAGAACAGCTTGCAAATCCTCCATATAATTGTACCCTCGTGAAAATGAAAATGAGATAGGGGAATCATCCTGAAGATGTCGCATAACTAAGTGCTAGAACCAACATCTATGGTCTAGAACAAGGTCAACTGCGGAACAATTCAAGAAGAGGTAACCAGGTGGGCATTCAATATCATCAATGCAATTCCCTTTCTGGTTCTCTTGAAGAAACTTCCTTTCAGAGCAAGTATTTCAAGAGTAAGAGAGGTGAACGTAGGGAAATTTTTTTTTTTTTTTTTCTCGAATCACCAGAACAGATAAATCCAGTAGTAAGATAGGTGAATGTAGGGAAAATCATTGGCTTTTTCATTTTAAGGAAACTGTCATTTTCATATCTGACCAACAATCATATACTCCCTCCACCCCAATTTATCTGACACTTTGCGCTTATTAAAATTCAAATTAGGTGAACTTTGACCAACATTTTAAAATGTAATTTTCATCATATTGACATAAGAAGAATTGTAACTTATAGTACTTTTCGTATAGTTTTGGAAATCCAAAATTTTAATTTTAAAATATTGAGTTGATCTAATCCAATTTAGCTTCGAAAATTAGTCAAATTAACTCTCAAAAAGCGAAAAATGTCAAATAAATTGGGACGGAGGGAATAGCAGAAAAGACTGTTGCTTTCAACTCCACACGTTTGTTGGCGGCAATAACTGTTTTGAAAGGAGAAACTAAGCCACCATGTTCGACTCTTATAAAAAATAAATGTCACGCTTGCTTTCTACAACTACTACTACTACAAATGTTACTTCAAAAAGCAACGGAACTAGTATAATTTATTGCAAAACCATATGAAACAGAAAAGGCATTGACCGTGCTCCTACTAATACAAGGCAAAATACTTAAAAAGAATCTAAAACTTGAGCAGCAACTTAAAAATAAACAGTTGATAAATAAACCTAAAATCACATGGAAGTTGTCTTAAAAACCTATGATCATCAAAATCAATGTAGACTTAGCAAAAGATAAACATAATGGAAGCAAAAAAAACATATTGGCGGTACCAACTAGTTGTGATCAAAGCTAGTCAAGATGGTAAGCTCAAATTAAGTTCAGTAAGTGCTAAGAGTTGGTTGGAGATTTATTTCTCAAAAAAATGTAGAGAACCTACAATTAAATTACCACCAATGACTAATTACTGGAATGAAAAACGTCCAAATTGAGCCAAATGGATAGTGAGGAATCATATAACAGGCCCTTAGTAGCTTAGAATTGTGTTATAGCAGTTGTTATTGTTTTTCCAAAAAAAAAATCTAGGTCTAACCACAAAAAGAACTGAATCACACAATAAGTTGGATAACTTGGTTAATACTTTTTGCAGAAATCTTTGAATTTCATACTTAGCAAACTGGATAATGAGACACTTCAATAATGGGCTTGCATATGAGGCTTCAAGGCTCTAAGCTCTTAGATTCAATCTTTTGCTGTAAGATTTTCCTCTTACCTTGTTGTGGGTACCATGTGAATCGTTCATGACTATTCATCACTTGATATATAAACCTTTTACACCTCTTGTTAATTGAGCGCTATCGTACTATCATCACTTCTATCTCAGATAAATCTGAAATCGAGTACAGCAAAACTAAATAGGTTCCTCCTAATAAACACGTGAGACCCCCTTCTTTGACAACAAAAGCTCACTGATTCAATGTTAACTATTACTTGACCAAAACACTATTTATAGGAAATCTTAGGGCCTCTTAAACCCTTAAAAAGATTTTTCGGGAAATTTGGAATTAAATGCATAACCTAGGTCTTCCTTTGGAAATGAAGTACAAATTAACAGAGATATGGCAAGAGATACTGGATAAGTGTGAGCAAATGTCGTCTGGCACTCTTGACCTAAGTTGCTCGGACTCGGGTGCAGGTATCCGATATGGGGACAGATCCGAGTATCGGATTCGGCAAAATCTAAACTTTAAGATTCGGGGGTGCGGATCCAGATATGGATACGGGTGCGGGGATTCGGCTAATGAAAATAGAGCTATAAAAATATTGTAAATTTTGAAAGATATTCTGTGAAAAACTTACATGAATATTGTAGAATTCAATCTTTCATTCTCCAAGATGGACATTATTCATTCATTCTCTTAAATCTATTCTATTTTTTTATTTTGAGAAATTAAAATCTCAATTTTTCTCCCAAATTTGTCTATGGACTCTGGTCAAAGTGTCCGAAGTCAGTTGACCGAATCCGGGACGTACCCCGCTCCCGTCCCCGTCTCGTATCGGGACGGGGACGGCACCAAAATCGAAGAGTGCGCGCAACTTAGCTCTTGACTATAAAAGCTTTCAATGGGTGACACACTAGTTCTAATTAACAGCATATTGAACTCACACTCTCCACGTACACTATGTCTTTATTTCCTATTCCTAGAAGTGTGGAAAGGAGGCAGGAGAGGATAAGAATAGATTTCCTATGAGAGGAATAAAGAGAAGAAAACTTTTTCATGTTAATTGAACTGTTTTACAACCCAAAAAAAATAAAACAAAGAGGGGGAATTAGAGGATAGAAATTTGTGGGTAACTTCTTATCAAAAAGAAATCTCTGAGTGCACAATAAAAGCCTTCTCTTCAAATGGTCATGGAAATATTGTAAGAATGATAAAGCTTTATTGAAACATGTAACTAAGGAAAAATATGGAGGGGAACATTATGCAGTCCCTCTCTCATGAAGTTGGTCTATGGAACCATATCAGGGCCCTCTAGGGTAGACTTTGTTGGAAACTTATATTAAAGAGGACAAAGAAGCAGCTAGCCAAGATCTTATCATATGGCAAGGGAATGAACAGGGGAAGTATTCAGTAAAGAGTGCCTACAAGGAATACAACCTAGCCAACAATCAGATTGGATGTTGGCCATGGAAGATGAATGGAAAGTAAAATTTCCATACAAGGTTGCTTGCTTTACTTGGTTATTAGCTAAAGAAGCAGTTTTAACACAAGACAACCTAACAAAAAGAGGATTCCAGCTGGGTTCTAGGAATTACCTATGTCGCGAGAAGGCAGTGACAATTAGCCATCTTTTTCTGCATTGCAATTTCACTATACAGATATGGAGGATTTTCATCCGTCTAAGGGGAATTCCATGGGCAATGCCGGGAAGAATCCTTGATATTCTAGCTAGATGGAATAAAGAGGGCACACTTTAGAGAGATAAAGAGAGATGGAGAATTGTCCCAGCTTGTAAATGGTGGACAGTCTGGGAAGAGAGAAATCAAAGATGGTTTGAAGATAAGTCCAACAACATCTAAAAGATAAAGATGAAATATTTAGCTCTTTTTTATTTTTGGTGTAAAGGAAAACTTTTGGAGGATAGTGTATCCATTTTAGATGCCCTAGATTCATTGTAAGAAGTACAAGGGTGAAAAGTGCCCTTTTTTGTGTAGTTTTGTATGGGCACGTACATTGTAATTATGGGTGACTTCACAATTTTAGTGAAGTCTTTATATTAATATACAAATATGTTACCTTCTAAAAAAAAAAAAAGGAGGACAAAGACGCAACTGCGACTCAAAAAAAGTGCAGCCCGGTGCACAAAGCATCCCGCATTCACGGAGGGCCAGAGGAAGGACCGCACCCCAAGGGTGTGATGTAGACAGACTACCCTAGTACAAGCACTAGTGAATGCTTCCACGACTTGAACCCATGACCTATAGGATGAGATTATACTTTAGGAGAAATTGCAATGACGGGGAACTGAAAAGAATCACTAGGTCACTGTTGCAACTGGGAAATTTTAAGGTTTATAAGATACTGCAAAGGTTGTGTAATGATGCTCACGATCTTGTTCTTTAATTCCTTAATTTGAAAATTGATCAACTTTTGGAAATGATCAACGATTTGCCACAATGTCAGTTCAGGCAAAAGTTGTAAAACATTTTTATGGGATGCAGAAGTGATGGTATGGGCCAATAAGAAAGGAGGGCTAAGGATACTGAGGTTGGGTGGAGAGGAAGGGGGCTGGGGAAGGAAATCTTATTGGTCGAGTCCAACAAATTGTTGAAGATTTCCTTTTTCTTTTCTTTTTTGGTCATTGTATTATATTCTACTCCCTCTGTTCCAGTTTATGTGAACCTATTTCCTTTTTGGTCCGTTCCAAAAAGAATGAACCCTTTCTAAATTTGGTAACAATTTAGCTTAAACTTACAACTTTACCCTTAATGAGAAGCTTTTATAACCACACAAATACTCTGGGCCCCATTTGGACTTTTTAGGACCACAAATTCCAAAAGTCTTTCATTTTTTTCTTAAACTCCGTGCCCAGTCAAACAGGTTCACATAAATTGGAACGAAAGGAGTAGTAAATACAATTAATTTTGGATGGGAAAGATAACAAATAAAATATTTTGGACCTCCTTGCCACTTAATAATTGTAGAGATCAAGGTTGAGTAGATCCACCATTATCATACTTCTTCTGAATGTTTACCTTCTTTTTGTGTGTGTGTTCATCTGAAAGTACCATTTGCTTCTAGAAAGGATATTTTCAAGTGTTTATATCCATAAAAAGGTTATATGGACCTAAATTAACTCTTCAAAAAGAACTTTTTCCTATTTTATTTTACTCTATATATTGAAGACATAAGTAAGTAGATAAAAGTGTGTAAAAAGAGCTTTCACATGCTCAGCCCATAAAAAGAATCATGTTCACGCGTGAATGGATGTTTTGAAGACATAATGAAGTAAATAAAATTGTGCTCTGTCTAACAGCTTAAGCTTTTAGATGAGATGGTCGCACACATCAACAGTTTAAAACGAAAAGGGCACAATGTCCTCTCTAAGTGTGTTTCCTCATTGAAGACTAAAAAGTTAGCTTTTCTATTATTGTATGACCGATGGGTAAAGTCAAGCTAAGACATTCAAGTTGGGATACACCAATCCGGAAACAAAGGCATTCAAGTTGAGATAAAACAGAAAACTTAATTAGAGAGGTCTTAACTACTTCTCCACCTACAGAAGGGATCTAAGTATTCTCCAAAAATGTCACATAGTATATTCTCTTGCAAACTTCATGCTCCTTCCAAAATGTTCCACCTCATATTTGTACCAAGAAGTGCCTGTTGTACATCCCAATTACCATACTCTTTCAAAATAGCTTATACTCGTATTACCTTGTTTCTCAAGTTAAAGTTCTAACTTTTCAAGTTAAATTTATTGGACAAAGCATATATTACAAATAAAGGCAACCGATTACAGTTGAAACTTTCTGTTTCGAATAATCATTCACAAATCTGTATAATTTTACCCATAGTTAGGTGAGCTTAAACTCGTCAAACACATCAACCAACTATGGCTACAGTATGGAGCTAAATAAGGAACTAGAGAAACATACCAGCCGTAATGCAGCATTTCTTCCAAACTCATTTCCATTTTCAATTACATCACGAAGAGCATCTGGAAGGACCTTCCAGAACTCACCAACAAATTCTGAACCCTTTCTCCTACTATTCTGAAGAATATCATTTGCAAGGTAAAGAAACGCCAATCTCTGCTCACGTGGTGAGCAATGGAATTGCTGGGCCCAAGTTTCAACAACTTGTTTAGCTTTGTTCATGTGAAAAATACACCAATGTGATAAAGCTAGTTGGAGTTAAGTTACAATCCATGAAAAGAAAGCATTTGTCAAGCAATCAGGTTACAATTTGATCTAGCAAGCCAAAGTAGCAGCACAATAGTATCTCCAGACAAAAATAGAAATCTCAAATAATATATCCATGAAAGATAGAGAAACATTATCCTAGGCCATGTTGAAGCATGTAAGTCTTCCATACTCAACATGATTAATGTGAATCATGACAAAGTATGCTGATTGCCGAAAGAGAGAATAGCAAAGCAAGTATTTACACCTATGTAAAATGTGCAAGAAAGCTTCTTCACATAGTCAAGGAAAAAGGGGCTACAAGTGCACTCATATACGGCTTACGATTGAAGTGATAAAAAAAAAAACCACTATCACACTAAACTGCAGAACAAACTAAATACTTTACTCCACAGATATCCACGTGGAAATGATCCTTTGTCAAATGGACCATATCGAGAATATAGTTAAAGAAGTAGCGAGCTTGAATTAGTGTTAAATAATATGTATTCATACAAAGTCCACAGTGTGTTACACTCTAATATGTGTCATGGCATCATACTTGCTAATCTTACCCCCCACCCTTTTCCCCCTCTCAACCCCTATGACTACAACAGTGCTCCCTTCCACATGATTCATGCTCAAAATGGATTCTCATAACAATTCAATGCGTAAAGAGAGTGGTTTATGTTGACGATATTGTTATTACCGGCAATGATCAAGACGATATTACTAAGTTGAAGCAACATCTCTTTCTAACACTTTCAAACTAAGGATCTAGGCAAATTAAAGTATTTTATGGGTATTGAGGTCGCTCAGTCTAGGTCAGGTATTGTGATCTCACAACGGAAGTATGCCTTAAACATTCTTGAGGAGACGGGAACGACGGGTTGTACACCCGTTGACACTCCTATGGATCCGAATTCTAAACTTCTGCCAAGACAGGGGGAGCCGCTTAACGATCCTGCAAGATATAGGCAGCTAGTTGGTAAATTAAATTTTCTCATAGTGACTAGACCTAGCATTTTTTTTTTTCTGTGGTTTATGGATTCTCCATGTGATAGTCATTGGGATGCAGTTGTCCACATTGTTCGGTATATAAATTCGGCTCAGGCAAAGGATTATTGTTTGAGGATCGAGGCTATTATCAGATCTTTAGATACTCAGATGCAGATAGGGCAGGATAACCTTCTGATAGCCGTTCTACGTCTGGATATTGTGTTTTAGTAAGAGATAATTTGGTGTCTTGGAAGAGCAAGAAACAGAATGTAGTTGTTTGGTCTAGTGCAGAAGCAGTGTGAGCTAGTTTGGATCAAAAAGTTGCTCAAGCAGTTGAAATTTGGTGAGATCAGCCAGATAAAACGTGCGTGTGATAATTAAGTTGAGCTTCATATTGCATCAAATATGGTGTTCCATGAGAGAACTAAACACATTGAGATTAACTGTCACTTCGTCAGAGAAAAGATACTCTTAGGAGATATTGCTACAAAGTTTGTGAAGTCAAATGATCAGCTTGCAGATATTTTCACCAAGTCCATCACCGGTCCTCGTATTAGTTACATATGTAATAAGCTCGGTGCATATGATTTGTATGCACCGACTTGAGGGGAAAGTTAGATAGTTATGTAAATAATCCTAGTCACATAATGAATAGAAGTAGAATATGTATTGCATATAGTTATAAATAAGGCTCATTGTATTATAATGAACATCAATAATATTCTTTTCCAGTGCTAATTCTCACAATTTTCATTATCTAACAATACAGTACACGAGTCAATAAACTTTATGCTTGTGTAGAAACTAGAGAAAAGCAGAATAAAAGAAAATGCAACAACAACATACCCAGTATTATCCCACACCAGTGGGGTCTGGGGGTAGTATGTACGCAGACCTTACCCCTACCTTGTGAGGATAGAATAAAAGAAAATGCTTCAAAAAAAATTCCCTCTCTTGTTGGCTTTGAGTAGAAACTGAGGGAAGAACAGTAATTTTTCCTCTTTAGCCACAAATTCAAATTCAAGATAATGGAAAGTCCTATATTTTTCCTCTTTTTTTCTTTATCACCAAACAAAACAAAGGAATGAAATAACTTTATTTTTGCTCATTCTAATTTCTTTTTGTTTCTCTCTCTTCCCAAGGTTTGCAAACATGAAATTAATTCCCAAGCCCAACCAATGCTTTTCCTGAAAAATAGAATAAAATCAAACAATCATCAATTTAGCAGCTAAATGTTGACGGATACTTTCAATGCTTTGCTGCGTACTATTGAGCTTTGCTAGCTTGTCCACCAAAATTTGCGTATTAAATGTGGTTCCCATGGTTTTGGACACTAACTTCACCAACTAGTAAACCCCTTGGCAGACCCTTAAGAGAAAAGCACCCTGAGCCAGAGAAACAAAACCAAATAAGTATGAGATCACATATGTGGGATTGGCAGCAGAAAAAGTGAAATAGAGTTAATAATTTAGCAGGCAAATCCTATGATATCAGAAGTATAGACATGAGAAAGATGCCAAACATGAAAAGATCAAACACTTCTATGGGTCATAAGATCCCTGTTGAAGAGGACAAGAATGTTTTGACACAAATTAAGTAAGTAGTCGAGTATATTTACACTCCTTAATTGACATCTTAGATTAGTTGAAAACATTTAGGCATGCCCAGGATGTACCAATTGTGTACACTCAGATACATTTACCAAATATATATATGATGTCAACCTCCTTATAAACATTGAATGATCCGATTTACGTATTTGAAAACCGGCTCCTTCAGATCTAATAATGGATGGCATAGATGTAATAGAAGGTGGAGAAAGAGGAAAAGATACAAGTAAGATATTTCCATCTTTGTCACTGCACAAAGATGACCCAAGTAAGATAACTCTTACTTGACACTACCAAGTAAATAAAGTGTGCATTTATATGCTACTAATTCAGATCGTATTGGTACTCTACAAAATTTTCATAAAGCACACTTGCACTACATATCCACCATATAATGTTTGACACTTAATATATCCCATGTTTCCCGTTGCAACTAATTCAATGATTCCATGCTCACATTGTGTGCTAATAAGTGCAAATAATAGCAAACATCTGCAATTTTATTTGTCTTTGCCCAAGGGTGTGGCCTAGTAGTTAATAAAATCGGAGGAGAATAATGAGGTATTAGGTTCAAATCTCAGCGGAGGCAAAAAATACTAGGTAATTTCTTTTCATCTGCCTAAGCATATGGTGGGCAAAATCACCCGGCACCTGCACTGGTGGAAGGTAGCGGGTATCTGGAGGAAAAGTCAAGGTGCATGCAAGCTGGCTGGACACCATAGTCACAGAAGGAAAAAAAAAAATTCTTATATTTGAAAAGTAGAGCTAAATAAACACTCAATCCCTCAAATAACTTTTGCCCATCTTTTCATGTAGGCTCAACAACTGTAATACCATTTAGCTTCTAAATTTGTACCCTATGTAAAAAACCGTGCTTTGTATAAATAACTCAATGCCCAGATAAAAGGAACGAGGGGAAAACATGAGGAGAAATCTAAACTCGAGATATACAAAATAAAACAATTAAAACACCACCCAGCCCAGTCCTACCATTAGAATATATGGCTGGTGTCAGTATTATTTATTAGATACCATCTGAATGGTGTCAATATATTGGCCTAGCAGTTAAAGAACATTGAATCTTTAGCCGTATAAAACCGCACCACATTGCATTACTTTTATTTAATCAAAGGCATACAAACATAAGTTATCTCTAAACAAGGCGAAACTAAAAAGAGGGAAAATTAATACGGCAGCAAGAACAAACAAAGCAGAATTGGCGTGTCAGTTCAGTTCCTAGGTTTCCAGGGTTCAACAAGTTCCCGAACAATAAAAGAAAGAAATAACTCAACAAAAAAAAAAGCCGAATAAAAGACATATCAAACAAATAGGAAAACAGAATTAACCCTAGAACAAGAATAACGAATACCTACGCACGAAAATTAAAATAATTTCTTCTAGTAGTTCAAAAAAAAAAATAGGAAGTAAGAAAAAGACAAACCAGTTTAAGGAGAATGCACCAGAACAAGATAGCGGTGAATGAAGGAATTGATAAGATTATCCCCCGGAATTGGAGCGAACAAGTTCTAGACTAATATACTCCTTAATTCCAAAATCAGCATACAAAAGCCAGAGTTAGAGAAGTTATGATTATTGTCTGCAGTCGAATTCTAAGTTGCAACCGAACCAAGTACAGAACTAAAAGCCCATCTCCTTCAGTTGGGTTTGGGTTCGCTGCAGGTCCGCTCGTGAAGGTGTGTCCTTGCCTCTGAATTTCCGCAATTGTCCTCCCTTTTCAGTTTAATTACCTTTTTATTGCTTTCCTTTTTCTTTTGAATTATGTTTTTTCTTTTCCTTTATTTACAACTTTCGCGATTGATTCTAATAACTTAGACTAAACAAAAATTAAAATCTCCATCTGATTGTTGATGTTTGTATTAGATCTGGATTTATAATTAATCCCGTTCATGGATAGTATTTTTTTTTTCCTTTCGAGTAATATTTTTCTTTCAGCCTTTTTTTTCTTGGCGCTTTGGTTTAATGGAGGAAGAAATTCTTCAATTTCCTCTTTCTTCTTACTTACAGAACAAAAGAAAGTTTTCTCAACTAATACTATTCAATGAAATAAAAGTGGACCTTTTGGCTAAGTGAAACAACCATTATATCATTTAATTTATGTAATCGACTTGATGAATAATTGTTTAACATGTAATGGTCAAACGACTTTAAAACAATTTTTTTTTAAGTTCACACGATGAGATCAAGTGAAAAAGAATTGTTGAAAGAATGTAACACAAATTACATAAACATAACGCGCAGTATATATGTATATGATAGCACAAAATAAATACGACATATGTGAGAGTGTTCGTATCGTGTGTGCACATATGTTAGGTTCTCTTTCTTGTAGTTCAATATCGATGTTTCTTTGTACAAACACAACAATTAAAATGTATTTTTTGTTTAGACGAAAGAAGAGAGGCAAATTGAACCCTTTTTCACTTCTAGTATCTGGTGCAGTATATTATTTCATTTTTCCTTGTATGGTAGTGAAAAAGTGATATTTTCTGGGAACTTTTTGCATGATATTTCCATCACCAATTAAAGATTGATACTAATGAGCTATATGACCCGGGTTAACTTAATTGTAGTTAGGCTTACTTAACTATAATTAGTTAGTTAACCATAGTTAGTAGTTAGGCGGTTATTACTGTAGCTTTATTACTGTAGCTTGTACAGTCATTTTCATTCTTTGACACAGTAATGAGAATAGCTTCTTCCTTTCTTTTTCATTTCATTTCTCTAAGAGATTGTTGCTCTTAGATCCACAAAATTGATATGGTATCAGAGCATATGGACGATTGAATCTAAAGGTTTTTCACTGAGAATTGTTGAAAACAAGAGATTCGTCGTTTGTTTCTCAAAATTTTCTAGCCGGAAAAGTCAGTTGTTCGCCGGACTTCTAAAACAGCCATGGCCGGAGACGAAGCTGGCAGTCGTATAGAGGAAGTAACAAATCGATCGACAGTGATGATAGATCATAATCATCCACTGTATTTACACCCATCGGACACACCAGGAGCGTTGTCACTTGGTTTTCAGCTGCAAGGGATGGAAAATTACACGATCTGGAGCCAAGCTATGGAAGTTTCGTTACTAACACAGAACAAATTAGGGTTTATTGATGGTTCTGTGACGCGTGACACATATGGAGACACTCATGCAAATCTGTGGGATCGCTGCAATGCTATTGTGAAGTCGTGGATAATGCACAATGTGAGTCGCGATTTGCTGAGTGGAGTATTATCCCGGTCAAGTGCATATGCAATTTGGTCTAATCTCAAGGAACGTTTTGATAAGGTTAATACATCGCGAATGTACTACTCATTAACACAAGGTACATCTTCTGTTTCAGTTTACTACTCGAAATTGAAGGATTTATTGGATGAATATGACTCGATTATGCCTCCCCCTGTTTGTTGTGATAAGTCGAAGAAATTCATTGAACGACAGGAGGATCAACGTTTGTGGCAATTTTTAATGGGATTAAATGATAGCTACAGTCAAGCTCGTAGCCAAATCATAATGAAATCTAAAATTCCAACTGTCAATCAAGCATATGCTATGATCCTTCAAGATGAAAGTCAAAAACTAGTAGCAGGTGGCAGTTATAGTATTGAGTCCATTGATCCTACTGCTCTATTTAGCTCTAAGCTTGGTCAAAAACAAAGGAGGAATTTCAATGTTGAATGTGATTTCTGTCATTTAAAAGGTCATACTAAGGAGGAATGTTACAAGCTGATGAAGTGTGATTACTGCAACAGGAAGGGACATTTAAGGGCCAATTGTTACAAACTGATAGGGTATCCTGCAGATTTTAAGCCTCAGAAACGATCTAATATGGTTGGAAATTCAAATAACCAACCAATTCCATCTTCATCAGTCATGATGACACAAGAGCAACATTTGGGACCTATGCAGGGATTCACTTCTGAACAACATAATCATCAGGGGCAACAAAGTTTGGGGCCTATGCAAATGTTCACTCCTGAGCAATATGGTCAGATTCTAAGTCTGCTAAACAAGGCATCACTCTCTAAATCATCTGCCAGTGCACACATGGCAGGTAATGTTTCTTATGAACCAAATACTGATGAAAAATGGATAGTAGATACTGGAGCTACAAATCATATGGTTGGTAATGAACAACTTCTGCTTGATAAATTGTTAGTAGGTAATGCAGGAAATGTACAGCTCCCTACTGGAGAGTCTACTAAGGTGTCACATGTTGGTAGTTGTCAATTAGATGGAGGTGATACTATTAACAATATCTTGTGTGTACCAGCTTTCAAGTTTAATCTCTTGTCTGTGTCTCAATTGACAAAAGCTTTAAACTGTTGTGCTGCATTCTTTCCAAATTTCTGCATACTTCAGGATCTCTTCACTGGGAGGGTGAAGAAGATTGGTAAGGAAGAAGAAGGACTGTATGTGCTGCATTCATAAAGGAGAAACAAGAATAAAACTAAATCATTGGTGATGGTTGCCCACATGAATGAAGTTGAGCTGTGGCACAAGAGAATGGGACATGTTCCAATTCAAGTTCTCAAGAAAATCCCTAGTATACATAGCAGTAGTAGAGCAGAAATAAGCCCATGTGGCATTTGTCCTTCAGCCATGCAAGCTAGGACTTCTTTTCCAGTCAGTAACAGTAGAGCAGAAATTGTATTTGATTTGATACACATGGATGTTTGGGGACCATATAAAGTTCCTACATATAGTGGAAAGAGATATTTTCTCACAATGGTTGATGATCACTCTAGATGGATTTGGATTTCCTTCTTACATCTTAAGTCTGATGTTATTACAGTATTGAAATTTTTTATTGTTATGGTAAAAACTCAGTTTGGTAGAATGATCAAATGCTTTAGGTCAGATAATAGTTCTGAATTCTTCAACCATCATTGTGCAACACTGTTCCAAATGCATGGAATTATACATCAAAGCATATGTCCACACACTCCTCAACAAAATGGAGTGGTGAAAAGGAGACATAGACATGTTCTGGAGACTGCAAGGGCCATCAGATTTCAGGGGCACTTGCCAGTGAGATTTTGGGATGTTTGTATGGATGCAGCTGTGTATATAATAAATAGAATTCCCTCCTCGGTACTAGGTAACAAGTCACCTTTTGAGGTGTTTTATGGGAGACAACCTGCATTGCCACATATGAGAATCATAGGGTGCTTGTGTTTTGCAGCAAGGTTACCAAGAGGTGACAAATTTGCACCTAGGTCAATAAGATCAGTGTTTCTGGGATATGCAAGCACACAAAAGGGATATAGCTTGTATGATATTGAACACAAGACATTTTTTGTCAGTAGAGATGTGATATTTCATGAAGATGTGTATCCATTTCAAGGTGTTCCTCAAGACTCTTCTCTCTTTGTAGATGAATTTCAGAAGGTTGATTCTTATCCTGATCAGCCACCCATTGTTTTACCTTCTACTATCAGTGACAGGGATGTTCCAGACTCCTCTGCATCTCTTGCACCTGCAGAATCTATTCCTGAAAGCACTAATCCACAATTGGATTCTCATTCTCTGCCACACATGGAGGAATCAGCAACAGGACAACATGAGAATAATACTGGTGAATTAAGGAGATCGGGGAGAACTTCAAAGCCTCTTATTTGGATTAAGGATTATGTTGGGCCAATACAGAAGTCTAACCCTTCTCATGCAACACATTGCCAATATCCTATTGGTAACTTTATTCAGTACACAGGATTGTCTGCTTCATATCAAGCTTACATCACTCAATTGTCTTCTGAAGTTGAACCAAGTTCTTATTATGAGGCAGCCAAGGATGTGAAGTGGATTGAGGCTACAAAAGCAGAAATTCAAGCATTAGAGGACAACAAGACATGGGAGGTAGTGTCCTTGCCTCCAAATAAAAGTGCAATTGGATGTAAGTGGGTGTACACAATCAAGTACACATCCAATGGGGAAGTTGAGAGGTATAAGGCTAGATTAGTAGCAAATGGGTATAGTCAAAAGGTGGGACTAGACTATCAGGAAACCTTTTCACCTGTTGTGAAAATGGTTACTGTTAGGTCAGTTGTATCCATAGCAGCTGCCAGAGGTTGGACACTATATCAAATGGATGTTTACAATGCTTTTTTGCAAGGGGATTTGGTAGAAGAGGTATACATGACCTTACCTCAAGGTTTTTCTTCTCCTAAACAAGGGAAGACACAGGTCTGTAGATTGCTCAAGTCACTCTATGGGCTTAAGCAAGCTTCAAGACAATGGAATATTAAACTCACCCCAGCATTACTTAGTTCAGGATTCAAACAGAGTCATTTTGATTATTTTTTGTTTACTAAGAAACAAGACTCTCATATTGTTATTGTGTTGGTCTATGTTGATGACCTCTTAATTACTGGGGATGATGCTGATCTTATTTCCAGTACTAAATAAAGTTTGCATAAGAATTTTAAAATCAAGTATCTTGGAGAGTTGAGGTACTTTCTGGGGATTGAGTTTGCTAGGAACAAAGAAGGGATCCTGCTGTACCAAAGGAAGTATGCACTTGAACTCATTTCAGATGTTGGTCTGGCAGGGTCCAAGCCAGTTCATGCTCCTATTGAGGTCAATCAGAAGCTTACAACAGTGTCTTATGATGATCATTTAGGCCTCAAGGATGACAGCCTGCTTGAGGATCCTGGTGCTTATCAAAGATTGATAGGCAGATTACTTTACTTGACGATTACAAGGCCTGACATCTCCTTTGATGTGCAGTCTTTGAGTTAGTTCATGCAAGCTCCCAAACATTCTCACATGGAAGCTGCTTTGAGGGTGGTTAGATATATCAAGCAGAGTCCA